AGAAGAAGAAGAAGAAGAAGAAGAAGAAGAAGAAGAAGAAGAAGAAGGAGAAGACACGTATTTGGTACATCTTACAGAGCTAAAACATTTCATGGTAGATTAAAAACACTTTGTCAAGATTGCGGCATTGAACCCCAATTAAATCATGAGTCTCGAGCTAAACTTCCAAAACTTCCAAAGGATTTATTAAGAGTAATCATGCCGGCATGGCCTGGGTGCAGCTAACTCTGAGACACATCATTCATTGTCACCCTTGACCCTGGTTTTCCCCCCATACCCCCTGGGTGTATCGTAATTCATAGTCTCCAATGGGACACATCCATAGCCCAGAGTCATCAATCATGTTCTTGAGTTAGGATTTTGCTCAACAGAAACTTTAGTCACCTAGTTACTATCTTTGAAAAACTATTTATGGAATGCACTTTTGATTTCCAAGCTGCCGCACTGCTCTTTCAAACCCCTTCCCCCCTCCTTTTCTGTTGGCAACTCTGAAAAGACCATAAAAATATTTTATCAGTTGACACACAAACATTAAGAGAAGCCAGATTGACTTAATAACTTTAAGGGATTCATTTAAAGAACTGCAGTGATTTACTTAATAACCATGGCCATAAAATGGGGGAATGACTCAATGAACAACAGTTTCACTGAGCGACTAAAACTCTGGTCCCAACTGTTGGTGTATGTTGAGGACACACAAGTTCTGGGGGCAATCAAGAGTCTTATCTTGGGGACAAAGCCGAGAAGGAGAAGGATCTGCCCCCTACTTGAACAACGTCCGCAGGTCCACGACTTTGCAGACCCTCGCCGAGATCTCCCAGGCGATCCGTTCCATGAGAGGGACCATCCGCTCGTCCTTGTTGTAGTGCCGCGAAATAATCCAGACCATCCGCAAAGCATTCATCAGAGAAGGGATGGTATCCAAGACGACGTTGAACCCGGTGCCATGGGTTAAATTCTGCCCCCGGGGAAGTGGAAAGCCCATATTACGATTCATTTCACACCCGGGGTAGACCAAGGGAGGAAGGAACGGAAGGGTATGGGGTCGGGGGGAGGGTCACATAGAACCCTCCAATGATCACAGCTGGCCAAGCTTTTCAGATAGCATGCTCTAGGAAAGGGGTCCCCAAACTTGGTAACTTTTAAGACTCGGGGACTTCAACTCCCAGAATTCTCCAGCCAGCATAGCTTATCTCTCTTGCAATCCCTTCCTCTGCAATCTCTCTACACTTTAGGAGATTAAGCAGGCATGGCTGGCTGGGGAATTCTGGGAGCTGAAAGTCCCCAAGTCTTAAAGCTGCCAAGTTTGAGGACTCCAGCTCTAGGGGGTAATCCCATGGCATCAAAATCAAAATAAGTTTTTTTTAAATTTTATTTTAACCAGCAATCCTCTTGAAATTTGGGTGATCTTCTCCCCAAGGTCTCATATGAGAACACTGAAGTTCTGTAGCATACACAAACATATACAATCTAATTTTTTTTTTAAATATAAGCTGAGTAAGGTGTAGAAGCCACTTAGATGCTTGCTGGTAGACTAAGTGTGGCTAAATGTCTAGGGAGATTCTCCGTCATCCATGATCACAGTTGTCCCAAAGGTGCTTGTTGTTGTTGTTTTTTCAAGAGGCTACTGGACCTTTCTGGTTTTTCTTTGAAGAGGTTTCGCTTCTCATCCAAGAAGCTTCTTCAAGCTCTTGAAGAAGAACTGAACTAAGAACTGGAGAAGCTTCTTGGATGAGAAGCGAAACGTCTTCGAAAGAAAAACCAGAAAAGTCCAGTAGCCTCTTGAAAAAAAGCACCTTTTGGGATAAACGGGGCTGGTTTTTGTGTGGCACCAACTGCAGATGATGTTTGCTGACCAAGGAGACCCTCTTAGGAAGAGGCCACTTGTTCGTCCGACCCCGCTGGTTGACCAAGAGATACCTTCAGATGTCGCTCCAGGGTGGAAAGAAACCTCACGTTGTCCACCGCTTCCACGTGATGCTTGGAGAGTTCGGCGATGACCACCTGCAAGTTGTCCACGATCCCCGCATTGGCGATTTCGAGCACCTGTAGGACCTTCTTGACTGTGGGCAGCTTCACCTGCTCCGTCAGGGCGCTCAGGGTGGCATTTCTCTCCCGCCAGAGATCGATCTCCGGGAGCGGGCCGTTCCCCTGCAGGCAGGAGGAAGAAAGGAAGACCAGGTGTCCTGAATGAGTCCCTGAACCTTCCTCGTTAAGAGGAGCTGAGCTGTCTTCTTTCTGAGGGCTTATGGAATGAAATATAGCAAAATAATGGAGGACACCTTAAGGCTATATTAGTGTCAGGCATCCAGAAATTGTCCGTTGCAAATCAATAACTCCGAGACAGGCATCCTCTCCAATGGATTTATTAGGAACAACCCTGGTAAGGTCTGTGAAATTTCAAAATTCAAATCATTCCCAGAGCTTCCCACAAATTCCACCCTATCTCCTCCCACTTTACTACACTTCATTAATCACGAGAACCGATTACTTTGCCGCTGACACTTCTAATGCGACATACTAAACGACCTTGGACTTTTCAACTACATCACTCCCCACAACATTCTTCCCACAACGTTTTGGTGGCAGCTGTGAATTCCAGAGCTGACAATCAGTTTTAGTGATGTTGATTGGGGTGGAATGTAGTCTGGATTCCCCGGAGGGAGGGGCTGCGTTCCAAGAGAGAGCAAAGTTTAGATAGTTTGGCTGGGAGGAAGAGAGTCAGGCTAGCTCCTCCCCAGAAGTTCTCCCTAGAGTCTGTCTTTAATGATGCAATTAGTTGCTTTAGTTTCGCACCGTTTCTGTCTATGAGTGAAGGACAATAAAGGACAGGGGTGGGATTCTACCAGTTCGCACCTATCCGCTAGAACCGGTTGTCAACATTCTAAGCAGTTCAGAGAACCGGTTGTCCCAATAGAGAAGACCTTCCCTTCCCTTCCCTCCCTTGTTATGTCGAAGGGCCGGTTAATAGATTTGGGGCTCGACAATGGAGAGATTGCTGAAAAATGCTAACCTTTAGAGAAGTTGCGGCCATCGAATTTGGAGGCCAGCTTGAACCCAATTACCTGGGGAACTTTTCTCTGGAGTTCTTCGTTTGCAGAAGAGATCAACACGAGCCAACCGTTTGCAAGGTTTTCCAATGTTTCAACCACTTCCTGGTCAGCCGCCAGTTCATACGCGTCCCCTTCTATGCTTAACGTCGGCATGTCTAACTTAATTTCCCCTGTCAGGTTAAAAAAGAAGAAGAAGAAAAAAGAAAGTGCAGCTGAGCATCCTGTGATGAGTTCTCAGGCTGACGGTGTCCACCTGGGTTGGGCCCACAGCGCCCAGTGAGTTGTAGTACCACTTTCTGGAGAAGCCCAGGCGGGAGAGGGCAGTTGTAGGCTGTCCCCCCGAGCCACAAGTCACCTTCAATCTGCTGGATGGTCCTCTGAATGTGGCTCAGGAATTTCTGCATGTTCATCAAGAACTCATTCCGTAGATTCTGGTAACTATCGAATACCAGCGGCTTCTTCAGCGCCTTTTGGGCAAGCTGGGAATCTTCCCCCTCAGCTTTCTCAGACTCTGCATGCGTGCTGATCTCATCCAAGCCATACTGGTTGTGGGACATGGCGGGCAGGTACACCTGCAACGACAGCATTTTCACCGCTTCCGACACCTTTCGCTGGAGGTCGACCAACCCTTCACCTTCTCTAAATTCAGGTGCGGCATCTGCACAATCATCCAACTGTTGCTAAGCTGAAACTCCCAGCTGTAGCAGCAGAACCCAGCAGCAAGGGGTGCTGAGAGTCGTAGTCCGGCAACATCTGGAGAAGTTCCAGAGCAGGTCTGCTTTTGGATGTTGCTAGTTGCCAAGAAAGGGCAGTATATATAGAAAAGCTTATTTTCTTGGATGTTTCTTTATCTGACCCTACTGAAGTGTCCTCTTGGGAGAAACACGGTCTAGGAGATGACCTGAGGGAGGCGTCAAAGGAGTCATCAGTCTCGAATCCCATCAAACCCACAAGAGATCTAAGTCCAGCTACCTTGAATTCTTTTCTATGCTTATCTCCCGCTCATTTCCCTTGACCGTTAGCAGTTCAGATTCTTGTAGAGAGCCTAAGCTTACAATAAATCTTTTATCCTCATTTGAACGGCCTGAATTTTCCGATTTCTCTGGCACTTGACACTTGGATAGGAATCCTGAGCTATGCATAGAAGGCTGCCCACGTTGTCAACTTCACTACTGAGACCCTCACAAAGCCACAGTGAAGGCCTGAAGACAAAACCCGACCAACTAAAGCCTCTCACCAGGGCCAAGATCTGTTTGAGCATCAACAGAGTGTTGTTGTTCAGGATGCCGTATTCCAAAACTTCGGGCAAGACGTCGTTGGCTTCGGCCAGGTCATTGGGTTCCGACACCGTTTCTGGTGACAAGAGGAGAAAAGGATCTCTGAAGTGGATTCCTAACTTCCAGAGATCTCATGCCTACCTTCTAAGGGAATCGTGGGCGAGCAAACTTCTAGGAAGTTTGGGTTCATAAAGCAGTGAGAAGAACGGACCAGAACGTTTGAATGCCTTCCCTCTCTTTGCCCATGGAGAAACAGCCCGGGAAGAGAGCAAGCTGGTTATTTATAACTGGCGTGCTAGCTTGGTAAAAAGAAGCAACCATTTTTGATAAGAGGGTGTGTCCTGCAGCTGGATAGGGGGGTGAAGCGAGATGCTCAAAAGAGACCCCCCACCTAGTTTCTCAGGGTGTAAAAGAGATGGCGGGAGAATTGTGCTTTCAAACATGCAAGATTGAGGTCGGCCTTCCTTTGCAAGTAAACCAGACAGGAAACTCAAACAGATGAGCTATAATTAAGTCTACTTTACTGTAATGCTACATTAGCAGAACCTTGCACGCCTGAAAGTACAAATGTCCCACCGTCTCTTTTACAGCTTAAAAAGGGAAGGTCTCTTCTGAGCATCTTGCTCCACCCATTCTCCAGCTGTAGGCCACGCCCTCTCACCAAAAATGACCCTTTGTCCACCAGGCTGGCACGCCAGTTATAAATAACCAGCTTGGTTATAAGTTAGGGGAGGGTCTCTTCTGAGCCCCTTTCCCCATCCATTATGCAGCTCTGGTCTCTGCCCTCTCTTACCTGACTGTTCTCTAAAGCTACCTTCACAGAATCTTGCAAGTTTGAAGGTAGAAATCTTCAGACGAGCTAACTCCACTTGATTGTAAAGCTACACTCAGAGAATCATGCAAGTCTCAAGGCACAACTCTTCTGCTGTCCCTTTTACAGCCTGAGAAACTAGGGAGGGTTCCTTCTGAGCCTCTTTCTCCACTCCTTATACAGCTCGGGGATATGTAGCCTCTTTATCTATCTGATCATTCCCAGGCACCGCCTCTTCCACCGTCGTTCTCACATACCATTACAGAAGTTTAGCTTCAGGATCACTGAATTGGGTCCTGATGGGGGACTTCATTAAAGAGAGAAACAGAATTAAGGGGCAAATATTTCATTTGCCAAGCAGAGGTCATGGACGGGCGGATGAAATGGGACTAAAAGAAAGACAAAAGGGGCTTCTGGAATGGGAAATGTCGTGACGCTCCGTTTTGCTCCAAGCCTTTTTTTTCCCTTTCCAATGCTTAAAATACCTGCTGTCTCTCTCAGGAAAAAGATGGTATCACTCTCCACAAATTCTTCCGGGATATCGTTCACCGCCATGTGGTAATAGAGATTATAAACTTCTTGCTTCACAATTTTCTGAAACGGAGAGAGACCAAACGGCTGCGCTTAGAAAGAAAATCAAACACACCTTCTGAATTTGGATTTGCCCAACAGATGCGCTGAATCACAAGGAACCCGCCAAAGCAACGGCTGCGTTGAGAGCAGAATAAATGTTCTCGGCACACAATTGTGAAGGGTGTCACTTTGGGGCTGCTTTTCCCATTTGCATTTGGAATTCGGTTTGCAAGAGATTAAAAAAAACAAGCCAGTATTTTGAAAAAGAACACTCCTGATTCAAAAAAGAGAAAAGCTGTGGTTTACGTAGGTAAAAAGAATTCCCAAATCTGTGGTGATCCATGGCAGAATGAACCCTACAAAGAAACGACAGGGCTGACACTGAAGCAGAGCGAGGGAGACTTACTTTGTACGTCCGAGGCTTTCGTCGCGATATGCCCAACTCGCGTTCTATTTCCGTCATGCCTGACCTGACCGAGGCTGTGGAAAGGGTCCCACTCATGGTTTTGTCTCCTGGTTCGTTTACGGATGTCCTGCTCCTCCAGCTTTTCTCTAAACGAGGGACATCCAGAGCAAGAAATCAGACATCACCACAACACTATTACACTGCACTGTTAGACTATTAGTAGTAGTAGTATACATGCCAATATCTCTGTTTTCTTCTATTTGAGTTTCTCTTCAGATCGTATAAATAAATCTCGACTTTTTTGTAAATGATATGCCCTGACAATACACTGTATTCTCACGCACACACACACACACACACATCTATCTATCTATCTATCTATCTATCTATCTATCTATCTATCTATCTATCTATCTATCTATCTATCTATCTATCATCTCTCTCTCCGTACCTACCCACCTATCTATTTATGTATCTATCGATCTATCTGTCATCTATCACAAGGGTCTTCAAACTTAGCCAGCTTTAAGACTTGTGGACTTCAACTCCCAGAATTCCTGAGCTAACATGACTGGAGGAGGAATTCTGGGAGTTGAAGTCCACAAGTCTTAAAGCTGTCAAGTTTGAAGACCCCTGATCTATCATCCATCCATCCATCCACCCACCTACCCACCCACCTACCTACTTAACCTACCTACCTACCTACTAAAAGGGATCCCACCTGCGGATCTTCTTCCCTGCATTTTTTCCGTGTTTACAACAATATTAAATGTTGCATGATAAAATACGAATGAAAATAAAGACAGTAGGGAAATGGAGAGCGGGGGGAAGACAGGAAAAAAACCTGATATTACTCCCGCCCTCCCCCCCTGAGGCTGGCAGCCATTACCCACTTGCTTCGGTGATGGAGGTGGAGGAAGTGTCCCACATTCTCTGCGAACTCGTTTCATCCTCATCTGTCCCTTCTTCGTATGGCACATCTGTTTCCAGAAAACACAAAATATGAGGGTGTTGTTTTTTTTCAACCAGAATTGAATTAACTAGGGGAGTCTACACGAAGGCAGAGAGGCCCTATGAGAGCATCCAAACCTTACTTGGATTTATTAGACTGGGCTGCGCACAGAGTCCTCTTTCCAAAGGGAAATTCCAGACAGACTTTTAGTTATGGCTCTCCAGATCAAGTTACTAGTCCACAGGGAATCAGCCTTGGTTCCAAAGGAACCATGAAAAAAAAAATGGAAGACCGAGGCTGCACGTTGGGCAGGGAGTTAACATTTTGATGGGCCCCATGTATGTTTAATTGTCCCACTGAATAAATTATGCTATTGTTTATCATCCTTGGTCTCCTACAGGCCACTGTTGAATTTTCTCTTCTAGAATGTACAAAATAAATTGTGATTTTCTTGGGTGAATGGAGCAACATTAGCTGGCAATGCAGAAACATTACTGGGTCCTGAGGGGAACTATAATTGAGGAAAAAGAGGAGAAAGCAACCCAGCTATAAATATATAATTTATCACAAAATGATGGATGGATGGATGGATGGATGGATGGATGGATGGATAGATAGATAGATAGATAGATAGATAGATAGACAGACAGACAGACAGACAGACAGACAGATGGATGAGGGGGGAATAAAATCTGCCATTTCCAGCCAATGAGGGGCCATCTGAGAAAACTAGGGCTGGGTTGCTGGGTGAAGAGCCAATGAAACAGCGGAGCCCCCCAAAGTGGGTAACCAATCGGCTGTTTTGGCGGGAAACAAAGGGCTATAAAAGGGGCAGCAGGCAAGGGCATCTCTCAGAGAGCTGAAGAGGAGGGAGGAGGTGGCAGGAAGGGCAGCCCTGAGGGGCCAAAGAGCTGAATCCCCTCCAAAGGCACCCAGCCACTCCCTGCTGAGCCCCTGAGCAACTGGGGCAGCTGAAGCGCCTGAAGGCTGAAGTCCTGAAGAGGCCAGAAGAGCCAAAGCCCCTCCAGAGGCATCTGGGCTGGAAGCAGAAGAGGCCAGAAGGGCTGGAAGAGGCCAGAGCAGCAGCCCTGAGGGGGAGCCAAAGGGGCAGAAGTCACTCCCGGCTGGGCATCTCGGGCACCTGGAAGCCCCTCCAGGCTTGAAGAGACCAGAAGGAGCCAAAGAGCTGGAGGTCCAAAGGGGCCAGAAGGGCCTGAAGAGACCAAATAAGCAGCCTAGAGGGGCCAAAAGCTTTTGCTGGAGTCACTGACAAGTGAGCTGGATGTCCATATAAATTAAATAAAAATATGAATAAATAAGTTGCTGAGGAGGGGGAATAAAATTTTTCTTTGCAGGAGGAAGAGGAGGAAAGCCAATCTGGGGGGGGGGTGTTGTGGGGAGAAGGGAATGGCTTTCTGTGGGGAGGGGGTGTCCGCAACGCAAGCTATCGCAGCAGGGCAGGAGGAAGGCGCTCTGCATGCGCCCAGGAGCCTGTCAGCAAGCCAAGCGCAGCTGGGCGGGGCGCGCACCGATCTCGACGTCGATCTCGTCGAGGCGCAGCTCCTGGCGGAAGAAGAGGCCGGCGGCCTGGCTGTCCTCGGCGCTGGCGCTCATGTTGAGGAAGTGGAGCAGCTGCTCCGTCTCCTCGCCGTCGTTGCGGTTCAGCAGCTCCTCGAAGGGAGCCGGGTCTCTGTGGCCCAGCCCGCGCTGCAGCCGCTCGCCCACCCACTGCACCCGCACGTCGTCCATCGCCACCCCCGGGGAGCCGCGTCTGGCCGGCCGAACCCGCCCAACCGACGCCCGCACGGTCGCCGGGGCAACGGCGCGCGGGGGAGGGCGGGGCGCCAGCGGAACCACGCCCCCTTCTCGGTGCGAGCTCCTCCCGCTCCCCCCCTCAAAAGCACGAACTACAGTTCCCGTCGTGCATTGCTGTCGGCCCCTCTTTTTCCCTCAGCAGCTGGAAAAAACAACGAAATGCGATGCTTTTGTGAAAAACATTTTACACTGGAGCAAAAACAACTAAACATAAAAAGCACTCTGCACATGCCCTTCAGGCAGGGTACAGGTTTCAAGCTCAAGATTTTAGGGCTGGTATTTACCCCCCAACCCCTAAAACTAGCCTATCTTGAAGTATTCATGGATCTCCCACATATTTGCAAAAAAATGTCAAAACATAACGGGAAGAATGGCCTTTAATTAAAAATCATGTTATTTCAGACACAGTATGTCAATGGGTTTCCTGTCATCATTTTAAATGATTCAATAAATACTTCTAAAAAAAATTACATTAAAACTTAATTTTTATTTTTTTTTTAGCCTGGGAAGTATTTATAAATATGTGCCCTATATAAAAAAAGTTCAGTGTTGTGGTTAAAAGCGGGAAGAGGTTGCCAAACACAGGTCTCAACCACCTAGAGCTTGACCTTTGCTCCCTGCCGGCATAAAATGGTGGTCCCCAAACTCCTCAGCTCCTTAAACCGTGTGAAGTTTCCATCCTCACCCTCATCCTTTTGACCCTGGGATAATCCCACCCTCCCCCGAGGGTCAACGCTGACCATCCCAGAGAACCTGGTTGAGCCTCATTCTCTGCTCATGGGATGGACTGATATCCATCCTATCAATCGATGACGGGCGAACGGTGGTTTACCCCAAACTCCAATGCCCATCATCCCCCGATACACAGGTCAAGGCTTCCTTCTGCAAACGTCACCCACGCAGGTAGATCTCTTTCCCCCTAAGCAAACAGCCCCTTCTTCGCAAACCCCAATTCCACCGGAAAACCCAGTCTCCAAACAGCCTTTTATTGAAGAGGATTAGATTCCATTGGCACTTATAAAAGTATTTACAGTAAAATACCTCCTTTTTCATACATGAAAAAAAAAAAACCCCAAGCAAACCTACTCTTTAAGAGGTATCTTCTTCATCGCGAAAGAACAAGTGTATTTTAACAGAAAATTGGCTTCAGGGTCACATTAAACAGGATTTTTGCAAGTGTTGTGGAAAAAGCGCACACAGTATCACAAATAAAACAGCCTGGATTAATGCAGGTTGTTGTTGTGGCAAAGGTGGTAGACCAGGAGTGTCTAACCTCGGCAGCTTTTAAGACCTGTGGACTTCAATGCCCAGAATTCTTCAGCCAGCAAAGGGTGGACTTCAATTCCCAGAAGCATGGCTGGTTAATGGATTCTGGGAGTTGAAGTCCACAAGTCTTAAACTGCCCAAAGTTGGACACCCATGCTGGAAACCTGCCAGACATAAAAACATCTTATTTATCCCGGGAAGGTTTTCAGGATTTCACCCACAGTAGAAGCTCTGCTGGATTTATCAGAACTTTCAGAATAATTTCACACAGTGATTCCAGGCTTCGGAAAGGAAACTTTCATATTGCCTTTAATGCATCTTGTAAAAAAGAAGAACAGGAGAGAAAAAGGCAGAATCCAATGTTTCTATGTCCCTCTGGGAGTGTCAAATAGTTTTTCAATCTCTCTTCTATTTGGAATTGTAAAAAAAAAAAAGAGAGAGTGGAAGAGAGAGAGAGAAAAAAATACAGCCGGGCATTTTTATGGCGCTTTGTGAGCCTGTTTTTCAATTTCTATTGAAAATGTGCAAAAAGTCACACCCTGAACCTATATTTGAA